GAGTGGAATATGGTCCTCTTCATCATCTTTTACAGGTGAAATATTTCGAAAGGGAATAATAGGGAATTAATTTTACAACAAAATCGACAAACTAGTCCAACGAAAGCTGTTTTGTTTTAGTTATTTCATATATGATATCTAATATTTACGTCAGAGCATGATATAATTTTGTATTAGTGTCAGACTAACTTTAAAAATCTGCGTCGCATGATTCGAGCACTTTCAACAATACATAAGGACTCAGACCTAATATTCTTAACGACAAAGAAGCGATCCATATTGGTACTTAAAAGTTTTCATTGCCGAAAGTTGTCCCAAAACTCAAAAAGTACCCAAAAAAGGAAAATGCCTTAGAATTTTGCTACATTAATATTGCGAATATTACACTATATATATACAATTAAATGTTCATTTGGAGTAATAAAGTTTTTATTTTTATTCGAATATATCCTAAATGTCTTTTGAACAAGTTTGTCCATTTATTTTAACAAAAATGGTGACTATGGTCACTTCCTTTAATTAAAAAAAAAATCCTAAAAGAATAATGAGAAAGTCTAAGAAGAGAATCAATACATTTAACTTTAACGTGATTGTTGTTACTACTTTTATTCTTTGAATTAAAATTTATATATTATAAAAACAAAAAAAAATAAAAATATATATATATAAAGTAATACTATATTTATGATACTATTTTATTTTATTGTAAATATATATTTTAAAGAATCGTATTCAAAATAATTTGAGACTTCAAAATTCAAGTTTGATTTTGATGAACCTTTTCTATTCCTCTATCATTCCCGATTGTAGTCTGTGTCGCGTTTACTATTATAGTTTGATCGTACTTTTACATATATTATCATGCCACTTATTAGTTATGATACGTGATATATTCAAAATCTAGACGTCAAAATAATTTAAGTTGAGAATATTGAATATATTCTATATATATGCTTCACGTACATATATGACTAGACTTGATTCCAAAATTGTAAATTTTACCCAATCCTCTCTTGTTCTATATTGGGGCGGAGCAAATATGTATGTTATGAATTTGATCAAGCTCAATAATATTGGTTTAAATTTTATATTTATGTTTAAGAAATATCAAATACTTGTCGAAGAATTTTCACATAAAGCCACTCAAAAATAGTCTAATTACTCTCTATAGCTATAGTTTGATAATAATAATTTGTAGTTAATTTTATAGGGAGGAGAGAGGTGAGAGAGACTTGGAGAGAGATGAGAGAGGCAAGCGAGAGATGGAAAATAGTGGGAGAGAGGCGAATTGTATATGTATATCGGTTAGATAATTATATATTATACATATGTATTTGTATATATGGCAAACGAGATTGAAAGAGGGAGGAGAGAGGCGAGAAAAGAAGCAAGTCTTAGATTACCAGATCCTGGACACAATCTTCCTAGAGATTGAGAGCCACTTGACTGTAAGGAAAGGGGCCCTTGGGCCACTTGCCTCGCCCTTTTTTTCGCACCTATCCTTCTTGCTTGCTTACCTATTGCTCTCTTGTCTTAGTGACTCTTCCTCTTTTCTAGGTTTTTTTTAGTGTTAAAATGATAGATTTTTCATTTGCCAATGAATTAGATCCGTCCCGATTCGATCAATAATGGAATTCTTGGCTAGAGAAAGGTTTTGTGACATGGACACCCAGAGGAAGAGAATGGGAGACAGGTGAATTATATATGATACCGGTTTGAGGATTGTAAATTATATTATACATTTGTATATATGACAAGAGATATTGAGAGAGGGAGAAGAGATGCGAGCGAGATTAGGAATGGAGGATAGAGGCAAGCGAGAGAGGACGAGAGTAGGAGAGAGATGAATTATATATGTATATCAGTTAGATAATTATATATTATATATATGTACTTGTACATTCCGACGAATTATGCATATACAAATGTGACTAATTATACAAATTTGAAGTCAGCCCACATAATTAATGAATAATGTTAGTCGTGAATGATAATTATAATAAACTATAACTAAGATAAATAATTAAGTAATATAAGTTTACTTAACCGCATAATTTTTTCATATTTACGTAAGTTATTCATTTACAACCAGTAATACTAATAGGTTTTGATCTTTTAACTTTATAAATTTTAAAATTGGAACTCCAATACTATCTGTCCTAATTATTTGATGCAAGTCTCTTTCCTAATAAAATAAGGTTGAGATATTTACATTAACTCATATTTTAGTGCATAATTAATTATTTTTATTCCATGAACTCTTTAATTTCTTCCTTTATCTATGCATGTATTATTTTATTTTGAAAGGAATGATTACCATATAATTAATTAAATCACATGTTAAAAGATCCGCAATAAAGCTTAGCACTTTTAGATTCGATCCCTTAATTCCCATTAGAATATTTTGTGATGATAATCTTTAATTATTTATAAGTTGATTAAGAAAATTCTCCATAATCACGTGGGAATTAGGTTTCGATTGACATCTACAACAGTAATGCCCACTACAAACTTATGGTTCTCATCCATTTAGGATAATGCTCCTCAATTATTTTTGTATAATATAAAGTTTTATAAAACAAACTTAATTTGTCCTCTAAAGTTCTCTCCCTTCGTCCATGGTGTGTGATAAATATTATCATTTTTACTTTTAAGTAAAAAAGTTACGTGTTGTTTGATTTGCGGATTAAATTATTTTGAAAGCATAACTTTTGTGATTATAGCTTTGGCTTAATATTTTAGTTGAAAGATGAGATAAAATAATCTCAAATTTAACGATACAAGGTGAGATATTTCATAATTAAATTAAAGTTAAAAATTAATTTTATTTAGTTGAAGTTATAAAATTTATTGCTGTGAGGTCTCAACCAATCAAGATAAAAAATTATTTAAATTTAATCTTGAAATATCTCACACTATCACGCATATTTAATTGAAGTCTTCCTCTCAACTGAAAGTCCGATAACTACTTTAATTTTTTTAAAGAAAAGGAATAAAAAAAGGGTAAGGATCCAAAGAAAATTAATGAAGAGGGGGAGGGGGAATGGGAAGGTGGAGATCGTGCTTCTATAAATTTCTCACAAATTCAATACACAATTTAAATATGCTGATAGCTAGCCAATTACTTTCTAACGAGACTTAAGTGTCACTTAAAAGATGAAACATCGAGATTTGAAATTCTATTAAATGAAAATTTTAAAAATAAAAATTATATTCGACACAAAGTCATAAAGATTTTTGAATTTTTAAATTTAAAAATATTTGTTTAGTCAAAGCAAATAAAGTAGAAAATGACTCAAAAATACTTATAATCTTGCACCAAATAGGAACAAAGGGTATCTTATTTGTGTGTTTTCACCTAACTCTGTGTGTAAAGAACCTAATTAATTAGAAAATAAGAAGAACAAATCATTTAACTTTTTAAAGTAGTGTATATGCTAAATAGTTGGTGTAATTTTCAATATTCATCACAATTTATTTTATTTAACTTTGAAATGGGCCATAAGGGCAATAATAAGTTGGAAATTGAGGAATAGTTGTAACAAGCTAGCTTAGCCAGAGCCTAGAAGCCATAAAGATAAGGTCGAATTTTCTTAGAGCATTTGCTTTTTGTGCACAAATAATGATTCTTTTAACTTATTTAATGAGGAAATTCGGGATTTGAAAATGATAGAGACACTGTTGTTTGAATATAGGTGCTAGTTAAAATCCTTAAGGATAATTGAAGAATACTATCGTGTTCGATAGATCATAGATAATAGTCGTCAAGTACAACACAAAGCAAGTTTTATCAAGATTATTACGTTCAATCTTGAATGGATGTAAGTGTAGTGATCATATCGTAGGCAATGATATGTAAGTGATAATATGTCGGAGTATGAAATAGGTTGATTATATACTCGTCAAGTAGTTTGATAAATCAAGTCTTATATATTAATAGTTTAGATATGAAATACATTATCAATTAAAGAAATATCGATAATTAATTCAAGGAGATTTATATATTAAATGTGACATGAAACTTTTGTTGATCAATAACTAAATTTATATAATTAAAAAGTATATAATTTAAATCTATAAAATTAAACTTGTGTTCATATGTAGTTACTAGAGGATGGCAAGCCCACGCAAGCACGGGCCTTATGGAAAATGATTTAGTAATAAAAATAATTATAGTTAGATTAATTTAAATAAAATTTATTGAGTTATAATTTAATTAATTTAAATAATATTCATTAAATTATAATTCAATTGATTACAATAGGATTTGTTATAGTTTTATAATTTTGAATTCAAGCCAACGACTTGATGAGTGCTCGATCTTTCCTGGAGGGTTTAAATTTCAATAATTAATATGAAGAAAAGATAGTTTTTTTTTCATGTTTCATACTTAATATTAATTACTCATTCCTCAAATTTTGAAGACTTAATAATAAATACCAATTATTAGAAATAGTGTGGTACTTAAATAGTCATGTCAATTATTCTTTTTTAATAAATGTGTCAAATTCAAATATGACAAGTAAAAATAAAAGAAGAAAATATTAAAAAAGTTAAAAATAAATTAGCAAAGTATTATCTTTATTTATGTACTTTTAAAAAATTTAAAAAAATTATAACAAATAATACGAAAGAATAGAACCATGTATAATGTATTGTGCGTAAATAATTTTGTAGATATCCTAATATAATGCATGTGGAATAAACAAAAGGTAATACTTAAATACTAATCATGAAATGACAAAATATCACCTAAAAATAAAAATAAAAAAATACCAAGAGCAAAAAATACTAATAACCAATGATGAAATGACAAAATATCACAAAAAAAAAAAATAATACCAAGCACACATGTTGATACAACAAAATCAACTCACTCTTCTATAATAGTAAAAAAAAAAGTTAATTTTTTTTTATATATATATAATTTTTATTAATAAAAATCAACCTCTTGTTCAAAATTTAAAATAAATTAATAAATATTGAGCTGTTACGTTTAAATTATTATTTATTTAAATAATATCCACTTCTCTCTCACTCCTCTCTCAGGCCCACCTATCTCCGATCGGCGCTCACCGCCACCCATCCACGACCGGCGCCCAGCCGCCGCCTCCTCCGTTCCCCTCTGCTCTCCTCTTTCGCTGCTCCCTTATCCGACCAACGAACGCGGCGCAGCCGGCTTCTCCTCTTTCTCTCCCCTCGCCTGCTCCTTTCCTCTTCTCCGGCGGGAAACAACAACAAGCAGCAACCGCGAGAGAAGCAGCCAGCGAGGAATAGGAAGCGCCTCCCTCTCCCCTCCTTTACTCTCCTCCTTCTGCTTCGGCGAAACAACAACAGCGACACCAAACGCTGCTCCAACCAGCGAAGCAGCACACTCTGGTCAATTACAACAGCAACCTTGGATACCAACAGACTTTTCGGAAATCGTAAAGCTCGAGGTAAAATGGATCTTATTCAATGCAATCCAAGCATGTCTTCTTAATATATATCGGCTAGCTATTCAGTTTCTTGTTTTCTTTAGAACAAACTCTTAGATTTGAACTGATTTTTAGTATAGTTGCTTACTTGAGTTAAATGCATGTGATTGTTGTTTGCCTTCTGCTTAGCGTGCGTGTCACTTCAAATTTCAGCTTGCTAAAAATGCTACTGTTAGAATTTTTTTTAAGTGTCCTTGTTAATATGTCTAATGTGATTGTAATGTGTTGCATACAAGTGTTATCTCTGTTCTCTGTGAATGTGATTTAATATGTCTTTATAGGTTTAAATTTGTTAGTTTGAATTCTCTATGTTGGCTAAATTGATTGCAACTATCATCTCCTCTGGTTAGTACTTAATTAATCCGTTTCTCTTGATTGTTTAACGATTCTAGTATATCTCATTCTATGTAATTGATTCGGCAGCATCACAATTAGAACCCTTACCCGATCTCTGGTTCATTGACCTTTAGTTAGATTTAGTTAGGTTAGAAAGGTGCCCTAACGCGCCTTAATTCGTTAGGTGGCGACTCTTCTTTCAAACAAACCCAAAAAAGAGTTGTTATGTCGTGCACCAAAATCCATTTTGCAAAAAATGGGGTGCGACAATATTCATAAAAATACAAATATGTTAGTGAATTATGATGACTACAATGACTTGTAACTCTATTGTTTTGATTCTAATTTTATTTAGGTACTTAGATATTTGTATGAGCTAATTGTTAAGCTTTGATTTGGCAATAGGAAGGTTGGTGTGAGTAAATTTTCTCTTAAATTTTAACTTCCAAAGTTCACGGATCGGGAAATCAAAGTTCCAACTTCCAACCAAAATCAAAATTTGAAAAAGTTCAGGAATATCGCTAGAGTTCTGTGAGAATGGCTAGGGAATTTAGTGGATGACTAGGAGAAATCGATTTTGAATTATCAAGAAAAAGAAAAAATAATACAAACTTGTTTACTAATGGTCAACGGTTAATGATGACCGAAATCTCTCTATAATGATCACTAAAGAAATTATAGATTGTTTCTTTTCGTGTTAGGCAACTGAGGAAGCTCAACATCTAAAAAAGTTGATACAGGAGTATACTGCTTCTTTCATCAAAATAGGAGATAAGGTTTGGTGTATCTAAATTTCTTAAGTTCAAGTACAATTGTTTTTCATAATGTGTTTGTGTCCATCTAGTATTGATACTTAGTTTTAATTTTGTGATAATTTGTTCGTGTCCATCGAGTGTTGACACTTAGTTTAAATTAGGTGATAATGTGTTTGTTTAACATAAATACCAATATAGTTGATCTTATTGATGACAAAATTGATTTTTTTGCAAGATCGATTTGTGTCCATCTAGTGTTGACACTTAGCTTTTAAATTTAGAAATACTATATTTATTAAGCATAAGTATCAACACTTGTTGATACAAAATTAATTTTCTTGCAAGATCGATTTATGTCCATCTAGTGTTGATACTAAGCTTTAATTTAGGAATAATGTATCTGTTAAGCATAAGTACCAACAGTAGTTGATCCTATTGATGACAAAATTGATTTTCTTGCAAGATCGACTCGTGTCCATCTAGTGTTGATACTAAGTTTTATTTAGGAATAATATGTTTGTTAAGCATAAGTATTAACACTAGTTGATCTTATTGATGACAAATTGATTTTCTTGTAAGATCGATTTGTGTACATTTAGTGTTGATCTTAAGCTTTAATTTAGGAATAATGTGTTTGTTAAGCATAAGTATCGACACTAGTTGATCCTATTGATGACAAAATGATTTTCTTACCCGATCAATTTGTGTCCATCTAGTGTTAACACTTAGCTTTAAATTTAGGAATAATGTGTTTGTTAGAAATAAGTTCAAATAAAGTTTTAATATCCCCTAGCTAGTTTGACTCATTATTTAAAATAATGTGGTTTAGTTGTTGGAATTATGTCAAAACTAGTTAGAGTTAAAAAGTTGTTTAGTTGTTGAAATAAGTTCAAACAAATAATGTGGTTTAGTTGTGGATATAGTTGTTGGAATTAAGTCAAAACTAGTTAGAGTCAAAGTTGTTTAGTTGTTTACATACACCCTTACCTGTACATGTGGACCGTCTTTGAACGGAAACCTCAAAACTGAAATGATGCCATATCTAAAGGGTTGTAACTTTGTTGTTAAGTTAATTTATAAATCAATTTCAATAGTAAATACATGTTTAATTGGAATACAAACTTCCAAATTTCAATGTGAGATATGCAGTTGTGAATTCGACAAACTATAAAACAACCCAAGTAGATCTGTGTTTATAAAAAACACTAATTAGTTGGAATATATCATAATTTTATCATCAAGTAACTTACATTAGGTATGGTATATGATAATTAGTCTTTTAGATAGGCTAATTTCTTTTTTATGACAACATACAAATAAGTATTATGAGATTTTGAATATCAAAAGAAACTCCTAATTTGTTCTAAATAATGTGTTAAATAGGGGAAGAAAAACTATACCAAACTACCCAAAATAAACACTGAATTAAGATGCCTGGTATGATTGATTCCAATTACTTGTGAGAAATTATATAACATTTCCCAATTAATCAAGTATTTTGAAAGAGCAGAATTATATGTGAATCAGAAGTATAACAAATTGGTATACCATTATTAACTACCATCACATGTTATTCACAATAGTTATCTCGAAATCAACTTGTATTATCACTAGCCATCATTTAAAAGCTACCTACCAATCTTTAAAAGCTAACTGCCTCATGTTTTTGTATAGTTGGGTTTTATTTATCCCCTCTAGATTGCCCTGATTCATTTCTGAACCATGTCCGCTCCCTGATTCGCAATTAACAATGTAAAGGAGAGCTTACCTTTTGCTACTAAGCTTTTGTAACTATTATGCATCTACTTGATGCCTGCAATAGAACTAATTACTTAATCAACAAAAAACAAAAAAACAAAAAAAAGGCTAGCCATCATTTACAATCATCACTATCAATCACCATTACAGTCAACCGATAATCGTCACAAGTGATATCAATATAGATCGTCAATTACCATCATTATTCATCACTATTATTAGTAATCATTATCGTCTACCGCCATTACCCCTAGCTACTTTCCACAACACCACCATTAGCCAACATCTCTCCAGTTGACACCCACATACACCACTAGTTTTGTCATACATAATTGCTTTTGAAATGTGAAATAACCAAAGTAGAAATTTCTGGTTGAAACCTGAAATGGACTTAGGGAAGGCCCAACTTGCTCTTTAAGGCTTTGTAATCCACGAAGGCGCAAATTTACGAGGAGTAGCCTTTTTAAAAGGCTAATGTTTGATTATGGGTTGGCCTCTTCTGAAAAGTTCTGCAAATAGCCAAATATATACATTCATCAAGAATTTCTCCTTTTTCCCCTAAAAATTGAAAGACTCAACACATTTTTGTTATCATTTAGGATTGATTTTAATTGAAGAACATTATTATTGAATTTGAAGACTTAGGTTTGTATTGGGTTAGCAGAGGTGTAGTGTTATCTTGTTGTGCATGGGTTAGGACTTGTTATGTTGTGTTTTGTGTTTTGATTATAAAGTTATTTTTCTGATTAACTTTTATGTTCTTTTCATTGTTTTCTTCTTCTTTTACTTGAGTTGGATGTACTTGAGCTGAAAATCTTTTGAAAAAACCTCCCAACCTAAAGGCATATCCAGGATTTCGGGACGATGGGTGCACTATTAATAAAAGGTTAATCTAAGATATAAAATTTGATCTGTTCGACATTTAAGTTCTTATTACTTGAAATCGTTAAAATTTTGATATTATAAGTCCAAAACTAGTTCTTATATATATATATCATTTTTAATAAGAGAGTTTTTACAGATATTCCAGGGGCAAACCTGTCATTTCCCCTTGTGGTTATCCAAAAAGGTATCACCTTTGCTTCCCTTCTTCAGTTGCGCGTGTTTTTGACTTCGATTGGTGAGGATGCTCCTTCAATTCTATGGCAAAACAACACATTAACTATGTGCTCTCTGAAATCAACTTTTCCGAGGTTCTCTTTTGCGAACGAACATAAAGGTATGCCTTCTGTCTTTGCTGTGTTGAGTTTTCTCCGTTGAGTTTTCTTGTTCTAATGCATCTTTCCGTCTGTTCAATGTTGTATTTTTTACTTTAAATTGTTACCTTCGATTTAAACCTAATGTTATTTCGAATTGGGGAAAATTTATTATTGTAACCATCCTAGGGTTATAGCTGCAAGGGGCTTTTCAAATTATTGTATACTTCACATTTGAGTGTGGGTTATAGCTGCAAGGGGCTTTTCAAATTATTGTGTACTTCACATTTGAGTGTGGTGGGTTTAAATTTGAAAATATTTCTGTCTCATGCTTCGATTTTCAATGAAAGATTTAGCTTGCTTCTGCTTATAATTTTGAGTTATTTCGTGATCAGGTACTAAAAGATCAACCAAAAGACTGATATTCTTACTTCTGATGAATTTTACTTCTATGTTTAACGGAAATAGATGAAAAAAATAACAATTTCAAAAAAAATACCTTCCGTTTAAACCTAATGTCATTTCGAGTTGGGGAAAATTTGTTACTGAAACCATCCTAAGGTCACAGCTGCAATGGGTTTTACAGCTTCAACTTGAAACTACATAGAGGGTACGTGTAGTAATGAAAAGAGGTTCGTTGTGGAGTTCAAGAAGTTTTGCTCTTAGTAGGTTGTTGTTATTTTAGGTGACGATATCATTTTGAGTTAGTTTTTCTGCATTGTAATTGCATTCAATAAACTACTCTCGGGTTCTCTCTGTTTTCTATTTTCTACTTCGCTGTTACTCTTATTGGTCTACTAGGACTCTGAGTCTCCGACATTAATTGACCTGTCCAGCGTTATCCAAAAGAACATAAAAAACATTACTATTTCTCTTACAATACATAGATGGTGATAGTTCAGGTAGGAGAAGAAAAAGAGGACAGCCAATCGTTCACATATTAAACTCACAACAGAGGTATTAAAAATGATACATGGATGATGATAGTTCAGGTAGGAAAAGAAAAAGAGAGCAACCAACTATTTACGTGTTAAACTCGCGAAGAGTTGTTAAATATGATACATGGATGGTGATAGTTCAGGTAGGAAAAGAAAAGGAGAACAACCAACTGTTCTCACGTGTTAAACTCACGAAAGTGTTATAAAAAATGATACTTTACATTACTATCTTCTTTTCAGTCGAGAAAAAAATCATTAATTGCATCTGTAGGATTTTAGAGCTCACATTTTTCCAGCTAAGGAAACAAAGGATACACTCTTCACTGGCAAATGTAAGTTCCTCCATTTCTGTGTTCTACATATTTACTTATATTAATATAATAATATAATGTTCTGTTCTTTATTTTATCGAAATAACTATTTGTGCCTGGACCCTAACTGGACGTTAAGATTTTACCATGAATAAAAGAATTTTACTGAATATATTTGCTACCAGATGTCTGACACCAAACACAAAATGAATGCACTCTTAAATGCCCAAACAAGTGCTGCCAAAAAAGAAGCCAAAAATCTTAGAAGTCGAATTGCTTACCAACAAATGCCGCCTGAAAAGAAGACCGCTCTTCTAGCATGATGCAACACAGCATATTCTGCTCGAACGCGTGCTCTTTCCAAAAACTTCCTGTTGTCCATTTTAAACAGCTTGACTCTGACTGTCAAACTATAACTTCACTGCAACCTATTATGTTCCCTCAAAATAAACCTTCCGCTGCTACCTCGCAGGCTCAATCAATTCAATGTGACAGTGTCTATGAAATAGGTGTTACCGATTAAAGTTACTCACTAATAATAATTGAACAATTGCCTTACACGTATTTGTTCTTATCCCTAATCGTTTCACCTGGAATACACCATTTGATTCCCATTTTAGGCATCAAACAATGAAAAAGCCAACAGAATATACCACATAATTCCCATACACCTACTAAATTCGGCCCTTGATTTTACATTTCGACTGCCAAAACAAAATGGCAACGGAATATACCATAATTTAAACTCACCTAAACTAAGCCTCAGTGTATCTCCGTTCTGGAAAACCAGATAAGAGAAGAAGAATCCTAAAGGAAAATGGATGATGGCCTTCTTAATGCAGAAACTTCCTTGAAGTTAGTAGAGGAAACGATTGTTGAGAAACATACTCTTAGAATAGAGAAAATTCAAATTGTACTACATTTTACTAAAACAGAGGATAAAGGATGAGATTGAATGCCATTTTGTTTTATTTTCTTTGCTGAGTCATTGCTGAATATTAATTACATATGTAGGCATCATCATAAATAGAATTTCCATATCCAATACAATGTTTTAACCCTTAGAAGTGAAGACATCATCTATTATCTTAAGAGCCCAATATATAGGACATCAAAATTTGATTATCGAACAGTCTTGTAAGAAGAACCTTTATTTTCCCAGCATTTGTTTTTTACACCATCATTAATAAGCTAATCCAATATAAAACATTAGGAAAAGGAAAGGAATAATCTTTTGGTGAAATTAACTAGGTTTGTCTTTCTCTTAGCAAATCATTTTTTTGGACAATCGTGATTAAAGTTGAATTGAATTGGATTAAGATTTGATATTGAATTGTGTTTGTGAGTTGAATTTAATTTTACTTGAGATTGATGCTATGATTGATTGTGTTCACTATACAAAAACTCATCCAGACGATTGTGAAGTAAATGATGTTCATAATAATTGTTTGGTACTAAGAAATCATTATTCTGCGATTGTTTCTAATTTCTATTTTAAGTATATTGTTTGGTTTTAAGTCTTTATGGCTGGAAAATGCTGTGGAACACTGGGACCCTAATTCCTGTGTCTGCTTTTTCTATTAAACACATTTGAGTTTTTATATCAATCTGAAGTTGGTGTATTATCTTATTGTTGAATATTCCAGGAAAAGAAATGTCTCTGCTTACAATGATGGAGCTTAAATTTGGTTACTGATAAACCAAATTGGAGAAGCTATCATGACAATTCTTGAAGAAGTTCTTGTATCACATGCAATGGCTGAGTTCTGAAATTTCTGCACTGCTCATTTGAAGGTATGCTAAAAAGGTCGAAACTTTCGATTCACATACGTGAAGAGCTAGGATCTCTGAATAGGAACCCTACATTTGCATTTTGTACTTGTGTGACTGATGACAAGTGTGATAATGCTAAAGCAAGAGGCGATGGGTCGGAGTCTGAGAATGAATGGGAAAGATTGCTTAAGCCTTTTGACTTCAAACAACTCCAAAGATCACTCAATAAAATTACCCCGTATCAGCTCAATAAATTATTGGCACTCCCTTTGGATGTACCAACATCGATGGAGCTATTCCAGTGGGCCGGTAGCCAAACAAGCTATTGCCACTCATTTGATGTCTACTTTACTTTAATTGATAAACTTGGGGCCGCCAAGGAATTTAAGATTATAGATAGATTGTTATTACGGATGAAAGATGAAGGGACAGTTTTCAAAGAGTCCCTCTTTATTATGATAATGAGGCATTATGGAAGAGCTGGTTTACCAGGGCAAGCAACTAGAATACTTTTGGATATGTGGAATACTTTCTCTTGTGAACCCACTTTCAAGTCATACAATCAAGCGTTGGATATTCTGTTAGCCGGAAATTGTCCCAAAGTTGCTCCAAATGTATTTTATGAAATGTTGGGGAAAGGTATTTCTCCTTCTGTATTCACTTTTGCTCGGGTGATACAAGCATTATGTATAGTCAATGAGGTAGACTCTGCTTGTTCACTTCTCAGAGACATGACAAAACATGGGTGTGTACCAAATTCAGTGATTTACCAGATTCTTATTCATGCTCTTTCAAAGTCTAATCGAGTAAATGATGCGTTAAAACTTTTGGAGGAGATGTTTCTTATGGGTTGCATGCCCGACGTCAATACTTTCAATGACATTATCCATGGGCTTTGCCGAGCTGATAGGATTCATGAGGCTGCAAAACTGGTTGATCGGATGCTTCTTCGAGGTTTCACCCCCGATGCTATAACTTATGGCATTCTGATGCATGCTTTATGTCGAACAGGGCGAGTTGATGAAGCAAAGGTTCTTCTCAACAAAGCACCTGAACAGAATAATGTCCTCTTCAATACGTTGATCAATGGTTATGTGACTAATGGCCGAGTTGATGAAGCAAAAACCATTCTGAATGAGAACATGTTGATTAAAGGTTATCAACCAGATGTTTATACATACAACATTCTAATTCGAGGTCTTTGCAAGAAAGGAATTTTGTCTTCGGCTCATGAAGCTGTAAGCGAAATGTCATCCCAAGGTATCCAGCCCAATGCAATTACGTACACAACCTTGATTGATGGCTTCTCAAAGGCTGGCCGCCTACAGGAAGCTTATGACCTTGTTACTGAGATGTCAGCAAAAAGTCTCAGCCTAAATATAATGGGTTATAACTCTCTTATATCAGCTCTGAGTAAACAAGGAATGATCCAACAGGCATTAGAAATTTTTGGTGATATGTCAAACAACGGATGTAAACCAGACATTTTTACATTCAATGCTTTGATTTTAGGCTTTTGCAAGATTGACAAGATGGATGAAGCTTTGGGGATATACCGGGATATGTTCCAGGAAGGAGTTATTGTTAATACAGTCACCTACAACACATTGATTCATGCTTTCTTGAGGAAAGGTAAAACCCAAGAGGCGCTTAAGCTTGTAAATGATATGTTATTCAGAGGATGTCCCCTTGATGAGATCACATACAATGGCCTCATAAAAGCACTTTGCAATGATGGAGCAGTTGAGAGAGCATTAGGGCTTTTTGAAGAGATGATGAGAAAAGGATCAAAACCTAATCATGTAACGTGCAACATCTTGATCAACGGCTTTTGCAGAATAGGTAAGGTTCAAAATGCCCTTGAGTTTCTGAGAGACCTGATACAACGTGGATTGACACCTGATATAGTCACATATAACAGTCTAATAAATGGCCTTTGTAACAATGGTCGAATTCGAGAAGCTCAGAACCTCTTTGAAAAATTAGAACTTGAAGGAGTTTGTCCTGATACTATCACTTATAACACCTTGATTTCTTCCTATTGTAAAATGCGCATGCTTGATGATGCTTATACCCTGTTTACTAGAGGTATAGCTGTTGGTTTCATTCCCAATAGTGTCACATGGTACATATTAGTTAGAAATTTTGTTCGAAAGAGTTATGAGTCAGTTACTACTTTGACTTAGGTAAGTCAATTTGAACAAGAACCGGCATTTCTTAACATGATTATTTTCATGCTGTTCTTCTTATTTTTATTGTTCTTTTGTTGTCCGTTCGAAAGAACAGACAACATCTTGTGATCGAGTGTCTTTCTTTTTCCTTAATGCTTGTGATTCCTGTCTTCGATGTGCAGTAATAGAAGAGTTCTTTGTGATTTTGTGCAAAGAATCATATGAAACTTTAACTTCTGTTATAGCTTAACATTGTTTAGTTGATATGATAACTATTGGGGTAAACTAGACCATTTTTTCTGCCCTGATTATTGGCTGTATTTTATGCACAAAGTTGGGATGTATCAGATTGTACAATAAGAAAATTACATAAACATTTGGTCTACCCTGCATTTTCATTGAAAATTTATTAGCCTTTGGGCAGTGACAGGGCTAAAATTTTCACTAAAAGGTCATTCAACGTATAGCATATAGTGTGTCAATTGATTTCCCTCGAACAAGGGTAGTAAAAAATGCTTTCATTGAGAGTCGAACTCAAGACCTCCCGCTTACTAAACGGGTGCTCTAACCAACTGAGCTATGAAAGCTGGTTGATACAAAGATGGAATACTACAAATATAATGGCAAACTTTGAAAAAATGATGTCAATTTTTCTTAGCCCTATATATGAAAATATGAATATCCTCAATTATTTTGCCAGACTGTTTTCATCGTAGGAAAGCCACAACAATGTGAGGAGGACCACACAACAATCCTTTTATGATTGTTGTCAACTATAATTTACGACATAACGATACGACTTACGTTTTTCATGAAATATTTATTATGTATATATGTACAAGTGAATACAAAAGTAAATGAGAAATTTTAGTAACTCAGTTGGTTGATTATTTAAATTTTTACCTTGTTTAAAATATTCGATTCTTCATCTTATAAACCTTTTCTCCTTGCTCCTACCACATACACCAATTTAATTTTGTTATAAAAACAATACAAAAGTAAACTTTGAAATTTAGTTATTGTCTAGATTTCAGCAAAGCAATTCAACGAAATTAGAAAAAGTCTCTTGTTCTGAAATGATTGATGTAAGTGAGCTACGATGTTAGTCTTCTAGGATCAACTTACTTTATAGTGCCTATTTATTATTTGTTAATTTCTTCCTAGTAGTGATTATGTACTAGGCTTGTATAAATATGAAATTGTTCAATACATTATATATATCATATAGTATCTATTTTAGTAAATTGGATGGATAAAAACAAAAGATTTGCTCTGTGTGCTAAACTTATCTTTTTGTAAACTTAGGGCTAATGTACAAAAAGTTTCTTAGAAAGGAATAAAACCTGTAAAAAGAACATGTGAACATCACCATATGTTAGTGGATTTATTAATGATTTTTATGTCATAAATTGTCTCATGCTTTGTCGTGTATATATATATTGCTGTAGTAAAGTGTGCCACCAACCACACCTAGTTATATATAATCCATTTCCTCCCCTCAAAATCTCTTAAAACTCATTACACAACTTGCAATGTGAAAATTACTTGTAAATATTAGAAAGAATATTCTTTTTCATTTTGATTTTTCACTCGGTGTTTTGTATATGTTCTAGGGTCTAATTTAGTTTTATGCTAGAATGTGTTATTTTGATGAGTAAAACGCTTCCTATTAAACATGTTTTCATATTTAAAACTTGAATTGAAATATCTTATTAAAAATGAAGAAATGCGTATCGTTTCACTATTGTGATATTGAAATAAAATGCGTATCGTTTCACTATTGAAGTGAAATAGTTAAAAAAATTTATAACAGTAGATCAATTATTATTATTTTTTTTGTTTGTTTCACTATTAATGTTTGGTTTGCTATGTCAGTGTTGATCCTAAAGTTGTGGCCTTGTGGATATATATATTAATACTTAATCTACGTAGCTTGATCAAATCTTCTCATATAAAAACATATGTCATTCACTTTTCATATTTTATCTCATAAATATTTTTATATTGGGAATCTTATGTTTAATTTGTATTAATTACTTTAATTAGATTACTCTTAATTCGTTACTGTGTAATAACAATAGTCAATATATATAACAATTGGATTACTATGAATATATCTAGCAATTAAAGATGGCTTCTATTGGATTACTTGATTTACATATCAAAACTTATATAGTTCTAAATTATGCAGTATTATATATTATATATCAAGATCTATTTTCATTCGTTCTTTGTAGGAGCAGAGCTAGAAGTCTATTTTATCAAATTCAATATTTTTTGCTCAAACAGAGTATTTGTATTAAGAAGTTTATCCAATCACATGTGCAAATATCAGGTTTGTTATAATCTAGTTATCAACCCTTGAAATCATTATTATAAAAATTCAGAACTCATAAAATTAATTCTTGCTTCATCTCTGATTCTTTACGATAGATATTACTTTAATAATATTCAAGTATTGCACGGTGATCCGTGTTTATTCATATAAAATTTCACGTAACTTATATCGTTCGAATCAGAATGTAAGCTAGTAATGCTTTTAACTACGACATGATTGTGATGATTTTCTTTAAGAGTAGTTAACTCTAGATCATTATGATTAATTATCATGTTGCGTGTAACGTGGTTTTAGACCTACCTAATGAGAGGTACACTATTTTTTATTAGTTTTTTAATGAGAAAATGAAAGGATATATATAAATTGCTTTCAAGCAAATAATGGCAAAGATTAGAATAGTGATTTGTACTTCATATTGTAAGTGTTTGTCTCACGTCAATGTTGGATACTTTTTTTGGATTTGTGTTATCATTGTTTAATTAAATAACATTAAGCATGTGACACGCAATTCCTTGAAATATATATATATATATATATATATATATATATATATATATATATATATATATATACTCCGTATTTAAATTTATTTGACCTTTTTGAATTTCGATATCATCGAATTCGTTGTCTTTATATAGAAATTTATTGTACGTATTTGAGTTAAGAGGCTTTCGAAAATAATTTTTCTGTCTACAAAATAGTGGTAAAATTTACATATATTCTATCTACGAAAAATTTATTTGTGAAATTTCAATGAGTATATTATTATTTTTGAATTTCGATATTCAAATAAGTCTTTTTTTTTTGTAATTTTTTATATCTTTTAAATATATTTCAAAAGGCTTTGAATTTTTATATAAAAATTAAATTATTTGACTTTTAGTGTAATAAATTGATATATATATATATATATATATTGCACATGAGTTCACACGCAATTTCAGGAAATTAATAATTAATATATTGTTACAACAGAACTACATGTTACTTTCATTTCAAAAATTCAGTTGAAAATATTCTACTAGCTGAAAAATCAATTGGTTGTGAATTTCTTAAAACACTAATCAAAATAAATAAACATAATTCTTTAAATTATACTGAAAGATCCAAATAACTTTGAGCTACATAATATTAAATTCAAGTAAATAAGATCTATGCAACATTTGTTTTATTTGTCCAGGGTCCATGTCAAAAATAAATTGCTTTTGTGTTATAAAAATGAAATTACACCCCTCCCTTAAATTTATTTATCTTACTAATTGAATAGTTAAAAGAATATATTTTTTTCATAATTTTAAAGATACTTTTTAATATTGTATGTTGTTAGCACCCCACCCTCTTTTTTAAATATTTGTTATTATTTGAGCAATTAATATTGTAACTTATAATTTTCTTCTACCCCAAGTACGGCACTCTTATCATCCAGATAATTTTCTATTTAAAATATTTTTTATATGAATTTTAAATATATAGATTTAAGATTAAATGAAGTTTTTATATCTGAATTACATTGGCCCATTAAAAAAACATTAATTAACAGGTCCACCATGTAATCAGTGTGAGACTTAAATTTAATCAACAACCCCCCCACCCCCACCCCCCACCAAACCCCCAAAACCAGCACCTAGAAAAAGAAAAAGAATTCTCAGTTTCATTTAAAACGTTATTTCTTTCAATTAAAATCATACATCGTCTAGTCTAAGTAATTAAAATTATTGAAATATTTTATTTTTTTGGGTGAAATTTAGATATATCGACTTTCTCACCAATTAAAAAGCAGCTAGCAAGAAATAAAAATATATATATAGTTGACAATGACGATGACAAAAATTTCGTAAAAAATATCTAAAATTTATATATATGTATGAAAAATAATATATATTTGACATAATTTTTATTATATATAATATAATTTTTTAATGAAAATATTTTATTGACCTCTCTTAATTATATGTGACTACGCTACCTATCTTTGATGAGCTAATAAGACGAAAATGCGTAGAAGAAAAATCAGAATAAATTGCATTACTTGAAAGTGATCAAACATTAGTAGACTCTCTCTATATATCTCATATGCCATATCATGTGCTCATTCAAAAGTCTCTATCTTAGAAAAATTCAATTAAATCGAGGTAGATTTAAAATTTCTATAATAATACGAATTTAAAATTTCTAAAATATGAAAATATATTTTTTATCAAAAAGAGAGGGAGAAATAGTATTAATCAAGTGCACTATTTTATTTTTGTAAAATTTAGAAATTCGAATATTATTCGATTCATATTAATCAGATAATTTTAAATTTTTTTTAATAAAATTAATCTACTCCCATAAATTCACGTATATCATAATTTAAACCTAAATCCGTCCCTCGTTAATTTTGTAGCGTAGAGCACTAAAGAACAATAAAAGGGGGAAAAATGCATATGCTAATTCACGTTTAATGTAACGCAAATTATTGCTCTTCTGTTACCCCTTGACAACACCACATGCTGTTCCTCGTTTGAGACGACACAATTTATATACAATATGGTCTACGAGTTATGTTTTCTATGACTATTTTTTTGGTATAATTATTTAAATTTGTCAGAATATTTTAATTTGATATTTAAATTAACTTATATTTTATTAAATATCTTAATTCTTAATATGGTATGTCAATCAAACATGTTAAGTTCAAATCTTAAAAACTCTTTCTGTGTTTTCTTTAGTTCATGAGGTTGTGTTAGGTTAACCTTATAATATATGTCGTCTCATTTTGTGAATGTTAATGTGTATAATTAAAAATGATGTATTTTATATATTTAATTTAACT